GGGTTAACGTTCTTTTTCAGCACCTATCAAGTTGGCTAATCTATGTAACAAGGTAAACTGCACTTTGAACGTCATAAGCAGACCCGGCTACAGGAAAAAGCATAAAGCTTGCTCTGTTGAGTGTACAGAAGAGGTTGCCTACTCCGTCCCATTATTGTGAGGGCGTCACTATGTGGTGCAGACCGGTCGCTGCCTGAATGAAATCTTGAGGGAACACCGGCACAACGCAGATGCCGTCACATCAGGACACCTCGGTGTGCATTGCCGGGATTGCTGTTGCACTCCAATTTTCACAGAGTGTACTGTACTAAATAAAAACAAACAAAACCTCACGGGAAATACTCGAGGCTCGAGAAATTGCTAGATTAGGGCTGGAATCTTTGTCTGATAAGTAATCGCGGTTTCTTGAGCAAAGATGACTAGTTTTGGGTGGGTGCCGATGAGTGATGCAGGATTTTTAGCCTTTTTATGCCTTTTTCCGCAGTTTTACGATGTCTACCTGTATATTTTTTCTAACTTGTCTGTGTTGTTGCCAGTAATACATACCGTGCTGCAACGGAAATGAAGTTCAGTCGTAAGTAGCGCTTTGTCTGTCTTCTGGGTCCGTCGTTTTCTTTCGTTTTTTACTCATTTTAAAGAACAAACTTCTGCTGCGATGTGCAGACTGCAAAATTAGACTACGTTACATACAAACAAATACTATCAGGCCTGAAGTTCAATGGAAAATAACAGAGAGTATATTAGGTGGTACGCTTTATTTCAGTTTTATTTTATAGTATATTGCTTACAAAATTACTACACAGGCTCAGCAAGATATCGTGAAGTTTAATGCATTCCTCAGCAATACTATTTTGTTGTACGGAGCGCCTATAGAAAATATCGGCTGCACCTAAACACTTCATTAAAAAAGGGCCCACGTGCACGCTAAGCCTTCAGTTTGACATTGCCTATGAGTACTGAAGAATGAAACAAAGTAGCATATTATGTTTGAAAACGAATAGTCAAGCACGTTGATTTTTTATACTCTGCTTTTGTGATTCAAACATTGTTCGTATCTCAAATCTTGGATAAGAATGCATTCAAACATAGTTCAGACCAGTGTTGCGGAATGGGCACCTCCATTCCATTCCCCTATTATTCCGGGGAATTAGAGCTTCCAACAATTCCATTCAATTTCAACTCTTCGGAATAAAAAGTACTGGACCCATTCCCAAACCCAGAATGGCAGAACTACACCATTCCATTCCTTTAATTCCTAAATTTGAAAAAAAAAAATACTAATTGACAACCACAATGTGCTACTAGAAAAATCAGCATAAAGCTTCTGCCGTTATTAAACCAAGAGACGATTGCAAAAGTATGCAAAAGTTTCCTCAAATCATTCATTTATCTAAGCCGAAGGGTAGTCGCAAGGCGCTTTGTGGCACTTGGTGTCAAAGCAGACATCGATCGCGCGATTAAGAGTTGAAGGCTTGCTAGTCGCAAGAGACGCCAAAAATTAAAAGCACCTATTTGCTTTGCAATCAGGCCGTATACCTTCCAGGGATAATATGATTACCGCGTTGTTTGTTTTATAAGGCCCTAAAAATCTTTGGTTCGTTCGGGGAATAAGAGAAGCCAACTTTCTCTCTGCTTCGAATACTTGCACAAAATAGCGCCGTTAGTGCGCTGTTAAAAGCGACGCCGTGTATACCTGCCCCAAATCTCCATGCACTGCGGCAGGAACAAAAAAGCGCTAACAAGCTGCAATCGGTAGCCAGCTCAAGAGAGTGTAGAAGCCTGTTATACCTCAAGTTTTACGGTTGCTGTATGATGCTTGCAATTTCTTAACATGTTAAATCTAATTCTTTATTTAGGTTCCACGCCAAAACTATAGAAGATCGACTGAGTTAAAAGCAGGGAGTCAAACCGGTCATTTTTCCTGTTCGATTCGGGTTCAGTTGCATTGAAGTTTGTTCCGTATGGCCTCTGGTTCAGTGATGCTTTTGAAAAACCGAATAGGTTATCAGTTCCACCAAGCGCACACCAGTTTAAATCGGTTTTTAAAAAAGAATAAAGTCCACAGCTCCCAGTATAGTTAAAAATGAGATGTTAGTTAAACACGTGTCATCCGCATTAAAAACAATGTTAGGTCATCTGAATCTGTGCTGCGGAAATGAGGACAGCAAAGCAGATCCATGCCCTTTTTCGTTTTGTGATCTTGAATATTCTACGCAAACACCATTCAATCAAAGTTACGTGGTTATACAGGTGCTTCGAAACTTACGAAAGTAGAGTAATCCCATACGAAGTCAATCATTCAGCACGCATATTGACACAGTGACCGTAGCACGCACCGTACTCACAAACTGCCCCCAAAAAACATATTAGTCGAAAAGTTTTTACACAGCAGGAGTTTAGTATGCCAGAGTACAGCAACATCGTTACCCACTGTATATGAGAAATTTTTCTGATACAGTCCGACTGCTATCGTGTGGTCTTTAACGGATATCACTCAGTAGTGACACACGACCACACGCCGGCACGATGCTCATCCAGGTCGAAACGGCACCCACTCCACACAGCCGAACAAGTTGCTCGAAGGACTGAGTTGAAGAGGAGAAAAACAGCAAAGGCCCATCGAGAGACAATTAAAACAAAAAAGTACAAAGAATACAACAGGCGACTTGTTGCTTCTGGAAAACGCACGCACACAGACACACGAACACACACACAATTACTTCAAGCAGCGTCCAGGGCTCTTGGCAACCGCTGTTCCGGCGACCGGTGCCGCAGTAGGAGCGCTTACACGATTGCGACTTAGTCGCATAGAATCAAGTTGTCGCATTCAATGCGGTCATGTAAACGGCATAATGCGCTAAGAAAGCGGATCGAATTCAATTCGCAAGACAGAGATGGATTGAGACGCCGAATGCGCACTCATTCAGCCCATGTAAACGGATGTCGCATCGCATTTTGAAACGGGGAGGTCTCTGGGAAGGCGCTCGCTGTGGGAGCGAGCGAACGGCTCAGAACATGGCGGCGGACAATTTCATTGGCGACGCGGAGAGCGGTCCCGCGTGGTCGCCTGCGGTTTCTTCCAAGAAGAAACGCGAGCTTTTATTGCCATCATAAGTGAGCGAAATATAGCTGAACTGCTCGGTGAGGGCGGACACCGTCCAAGCCTTGCAAAGTACAACTTACACGTTTGAGGGAGTCTCTAAATGCTTCGGCTCAAGAACGAACGACGCCGAGAGCTCTGGGCACTGCATCGTAGCGCAGAACGAGCAGCTCCCACCTTGGTGCCGTTCATGGCTGCGCCGGGGCCTCTCGGCCTTGGGTTTTCGGTTGTCCGGTCGTAGTCGGCGAGGTTTGGCGACGCGAAGCGCGGTGGCGTCCTCAGAGCGTACGAAAACGATCTCGCTCCCCAGGGCTTGCGCACACACGACGCCTCTGGTCCAGAGTGGCCCGTCGGCCCGGCCCAGAGCCCAAAACGCTTGGGTTTTCATGTTTCTTCCGTCTCGCCAATTCTTGCAGAGCACCGAAGACAGCGGGCACAATCTTTACGGTTGCCGAAAGCGGCGAAATGTATATACGTGCGATGCACCGGAAAACGTGGTCACGTGGTGCAGCTGATACCAGAAAAACAGCTTTAACATTGAGCTTTGACACGATGTGGCGCCACCTTCGGGTAGAGCTTGCTATGCATTAATGTAAACGCTACCACGTCCGCTTTATTCCAGGGAGGATTGAATTCGATGCGCTGAAGTCTCATTCATGTAAACACGTCTAGTGTGCGCTCATCGCGGCTTCGCCTCTTCGTGCCTCCAGATTTTGCCACCGCCAAACAAACGCGCCGACAGCCGTAGACGTTTTGTTTTTTATTTTTATATTTATGTTTGTTTTATCTTTCCTTGAGGAATATTCCTTAGAAACAAGAAAAGAACACACAAACACGCGTGCACAAAGAATAGCTCTTTGGCCTCCCTGCATAGTCAATGTTGGAACTTTCGACAACGGCATCGGCTTTCCTCTGCGGAGACGATGCGCGCGAGGGACGTGCTGAAGTTTGCGCCACAGCTGGCCTTGGCAGAGACGATCGCGCGCGAGAGGCGAGCTGAACTTCGTACCCACAGTGGCCGGATGCAGCCGTGAAGATCAACCGCTGGGAAAGTCGTGACTCGGCCAGAACGAAAGCTGGAACGCAAGCTTGCGGAGTAATAGAAAGTGGCACGTCTGTTTGGAACGAGTGTGTGTAGTTTAAAATAAAAGTGTTGAATTTTGTTGAGACTCATCGATATCTCGGAACGCCAAGAAACAACAATTCCCACAACAAAACAGTCAGTAATACTCAGTTTCGCTTTGCGACGTTCCGCGATAGACGTCATAAACTAAACGGGCCTATCTGTATTTCCTAGCTTGTATTGTGGCTTCCGCCATTTTCGTCCTCGAAGGAGCAAAAGACAGTGAGGCAATGAAGGCGTCAGTCGCCTTCAATGCAATTGTGCTGTTTTAAGAGCGCACTTACCATGCGCTAACGAATTGCGCCATCAGCCCATAGGCCCCATATGGAAATCGACACAGCCCTCGTAAGAACCAAGCTCCATTCCATTCCCACTCCATTCCGGGCAAAAGGTGTCTAATTCCATCCTCTTTACATTGCCCCCCAGCGCTGCCACCATTCCATTCCCATTCAATTCCGGGGTCGCGTAAGTGCGGAATAATTTCGGAATTATTCCAAATCCGGAGTGGAAATCTCGCAACCCTGGTTCAGACATCTAGAAAAAAAAATATGCCTTTGACAGTTGGCTGGGAAAATATAAACAGAATTTAACAAAAATAGCTGTTTTTTTTTAGCATTAATACTTGTTCAGACCTCGGAAATGGAGGTGGCCAATTCTTCTACTGATATGTATCCTTATAATTGCCGAATATTACTAGTATTAAATTAGCTTATCATTCATTTAAAAAGTTCATGAACACCAAAACACATAACAATGTGAACAGCTTTGCCACGATACCTTTTTGTTATATTCTGGTTTCTCAGAGAGCAGGGCGAACATTATCAGCGCCCCTTGAGACCATCCGATGCACTGAAGCTTTTTCTTGCCCGTTATCTTGAGAACAGTGTCAATCGTTGAAGGTAAATCTTCAGATGCCATTTCGTCAGCACTGGAGAAAAGTGATTTCTTGTTGGAATTCCACTATCTGTCCATAGCGCTCATTTTCTCACCCCTCGATCTGTTTTCACCAGTCAAAATATTAATACTTTTTTGTTTAGATACAGCCATGAATAGGAGTTGAGTCTTTTACAGCTTGAAACATCACAGGGATGCAGCAAGAATTAATTTGCGCACTTAGCGAGTAACGCCACTTGGCTCACAAAGACACTATCTGTGGTTTCAAGTGCTCCACATATCAAGTAGATAGAGTCCAAGCGAATTCACTGTTTCTAGATACATCGAGTGACTTAATGACACAGAGGCGTGTTAGAGTAAGTACTCTGATAGCATATACCCCGAAATTCCAAAGGTACTAGAAGGATAAATTCGCTATATGCTCGGTTATACAACTATCATTAAAAATACACTTTATGTGTTTTGAAAACGTAAGTCAAATCATGCAGGCTAACTTTAATTTACAAGTTTCTTTATTACTTCACGATTCAACACAGAGATCAGCACAACCTATTAACTTTTATTGTCTAAATGTACTTCCATGCACGTTATTAACAACATTATAAATTGTGTAAAAAGAGCCCAAGACAGGTGTTTCTTCAAAAAGGCTTATCCCAAAACAAAAATAATTTCGCGTATAAAAGACGCAATAGCACGCAGTCGCCTCCAAATTACAGCCTGTCAGATCATATATTAAACAACAAATTGCTGGCCATGTACATGTGTCGAAGTATTTTCGAACTTTGCAGATCAAACACAAGGATTAAAAGTATTGTTCCGAATCACAATTCAACGATTCATGAAGGTTGACACAGCGTTTATGATTAATTGCAGAAACGAAGGCTTACTCTAATCTTAAAAGCGTTTGCAGAGAAGTAAATGAAACATGTTCTTGAACCGACTGTGCAACTCCTGATCGTGCAACATCTCATTTTGAAGTTTGGCAATCAATACTTCAGTATATTAGCTTGAATCACTAGAACAAGCTCTTTTCACGGTGGACGTCAATGATGTTAGGCGGAGCTTGACGCACAAACTTGTGCCACAGTAAAAAGTATGTCTCAGCAATAAAAACTTTTCTGGCGTCTTAAACATGGTGTTTTTTTAGATTTTGCATATGTGTTTTTAAAATATCCGAAAGAAGCTACGGTAATGTGATTTGCGGAGCTGAGTTGCACGACCGACGGGACAAAGTATAGCGGCTGATCTTCACGATAACTAAATTAATAAAATAAGCTTTGTTAAATACTTTTTGATTAATTAGATTATAAACTTTTCTGGGCGTCATCGAAAACCACTTAATCAGTTATATTTAAAAAAAAACTTTCAGTGCGCTAAAGCTACAGCTCGTGACACAGGCCCGAGGCTAGTGGCGCGAAAACGCGGGTGACAAGTCGTAGGAAATCTACGCGGTCGCGTTTGATCCCCTAGAGCCTGTTTCTCGAGTTTGAACTTGAGTGCACCACCGCGCTTCCCACATTTTAGAGAGTTATCTAATATTTACTGATGTAAGGGCTTTTTTTAGGACGCTCAACCAGTTTTTAATTGAATTCATTTATACTTCTTAACGAATATAAAACATCACTTAAACAAATCTTATTCAATTATTTGTCATTATGTGTCGATTTTCCCCATTTTCTGTCTTCCTAGCAGTATGAACAGAGTCTCGTAAATAAGCGGAAATCGTGCGCTTCCGGTGCCAGAGAAATAGACAGCCAGGTTGCCGTAAAAGAGAGGAGCGGAAGGCTAGAAGGAAAGCATATTGAAGGCAGAGCCACAGAAGTGTTGCAAGCCGAACCAATCCTCTTCTATTTTTCAACTTAGCGTGAAAAGCGAGAAACAAAAACGACCGGCTAATTATCCTCCTTCTATAGTGCGGGCGTGAGGATGCGCTGAGGAACAGGGAAATTAGCTACGTCCTAAGTGGCAATGTATTGCGGAAAATAAACGTGTTTTCTTTTAAAAAGAAAAAAAAAATATCGAAGCCCGTTCTGGAAAGTTCTCGCGAATCTGTGAGAACGTTCCTCCTTCTGTCATGTTCTGTCGTTCTGTCTCCCAGTTTTCGCGACCAGTCTTTGTGTAGAAAGCGTAGGATTGCCCCATGTATAGGAAACTATTGTATGACCTTTTTGCACGGACCACATTAGTTTAGCTTTTCTAAAATTTACAGCAACGGTCGTCAGTGGAAAGCTCCCCGGTAAATTTCACAGTCGTCCTTCGCAAAAACACACTGGTGAGGTCATCTGCTACGCCACCTACGTCACCGGCTAGTTTTTGTTTATATGTATATAAAACAGTATGTAAATATCAGAAATACACCTCCTATATTAAGTCCGGCAGAACTTATTGAAAATAAATATTTTCACAATCGATACTGCATAACAGTTTTTTTTCAAACCGAAATTTACTTTCTTGACGCGTGTATACTACACCACGGCACCCAAAAGAATGTTAGACAAGCTGATTATCCTGCTCTGCGGCTTTATCCATATTCTCAATTTCTTTCAAAAACAGTAGATAAGCTTCAATGTTTCTTACTATGAGGATCATGTCAGCCACATCAGTAGCTCCGAAGCAAAATACCGGGCTACGGATCCCTAGTTGGCGGGCTTGAATCTAGGCCGACGTGTGCCAATCTCACGGAGGATGATTGCGGGGAGGCTTAAAGGGATGCTGAACCGAAATCCGGATTCCCCAAAACACGCGGCAAAAGCGTTCAGCGGGATGCTACAAACACCAAGGCATCACTCATACAGCGATATCTCAAACGGATGACCGTATTTTTTTTAAAAAAGAGGCGCATTTGGCAGGAATGTTGACGTCATGTTTTTCCGAGAAGGAGAGGGGACGGCTTTGCGTCTTTTTTGCCTCGCGGCTTTGAGGGAGCGAAGGAAAGAGAGGAGGAATCTAGGTATCTTGCCGGTCACGTGCCTTGTCGGCCTGGTTCAATCTCGACTTCTTTTTCCAAAAATACGGCCGTCTATTTGAGATATCGCCTTACTATAGTGTCGTAGAGATTGTAGCGTCCCGCCTACATCTCCAGCGTTGTTTTTTTTTTAAATCCATATTCCGGTTCACCATCCCTTTAAGGTCGAGATGTCTGTTGCATGTCAAGCGATATCCAGTTGTCGAAGTTAATCCTCAGTCCACCGACGCCAGGCAACTTTAAGTAGATTGCCACTTTAAACTCCCACATTTTGATTATGAGGATGTAACAAAGGTGTGCGTTATATTGATAAGATCGAAGAAGTCGATAAACAACACTTTTTGCTTGAGTAGTCGCAAAAATATCAGCAGCTAAAAAACATGGCGCCTGATCACAATTTGGCGTACGAAGTTGGTTACAATTCAATTCCCGTGATGTCCACAAAGTGATGCTGGGGTGGTGAATCAGGCGAACATTTGCTCTAGGGGCAGGTTCAAATATGTTCTAAGTCTTGCTTATATGAGACGCAAACATTATGATTTATTTACTTTCTAGCAGCGGATAAAGTTATACGGGTTTGTAGTATTGTGTTTTCAGGATAAGGGTGACGAGAATCTGGAGCTGCGCATCAACATCAAGTTTTGCGTTAACATTGATAAAAGTGGCAGTGAAACACGCTTGCTCTATTAAAATAAATTATGATACATATGTTACGAAGAAATTTAGCGGTTTTGACTGGCACAGGCGACGCGAGGAAGGTCAAGAGGATGTGCACTGCGACGTAAGAAGTTGGCGGCCAAACGCAGAAGGGACTGGTACAAATGTGGACAGATGACGAAAACTGGCGTTTGAAATCAAACATGAGGTATATAACTGATATAACAAAAATTCAATCGAAATAAGTAGACAATAAAAACGATTCTAACCGAGAACTTAAAATAGTAATGTCCTGCAAATATAATGCCTCAGAACTGGCGTGTATTCTCCAACATTAAATTGGCTTTTCGCATGATCCTCAAGATTTTACAAATCCCTCGTTGAAATACCTAGTATGAAGATGAATCGTTCAACCTATTTTTCTCACTTGAACCATATCTCCATTTTTTAAATACAATCATTATAAAGCAAAATGCACCTGAGTAACGAATTTTTTCTCATATTTCTGACATCCAGCGACACCCGGAAACGTACATTCCGGGTGTTCCGAAGAGAGAATTCCAACAACGTTTTTTGGCAATAGCGCCATCCTCTCAGTAAATGCATAGCTTCTGAAGAAGAGTCTCGTATTTTCCGGTACATTTATTCTGCACCCGATGCATAGTCCTCACGAAAAATTTACAGAGAGAGCATACCTCGAAACAATGCTTGGTTTATTATGTGTTACAGAGAGAAATAATGATTAATATTACGTGTCACTCATAAAATCTATGGCGTCCCTTCATAAAAAGCGCATTTGAGAAATATAACAAATCCTGGTATAGTTCTCCCGGTGTAAATTTTTAACTTTTTAACATGTTTAGTCTGCGAACAATAATTTGATAAAATGCGGTGGTTTAAAATGAACGGTATCCGCCAGTGTTCAGTAAAGCAAACATTGTTTCCGCAAAGCCATTCCGGGAATTAAATTTTTATACCTCATATTGTTAGTTACCCTTATAGACTTGCAGATGGGGTGCGGATTTGTTTCCGCGTTAGTCTTAGAAAACCTTTGGATTGTTACAATAAGACATCTGGTAATATTTATTCAGGATGTTGGAGAGTTCGCTTGAAATGCTTACCTGAAGTTCCAGAATTCGCTCGAGTCTCTTGAGAGGTTTATGTGACTTGAGTATGTATTTCCCCGGAAATTTCCCAGCCACACGTCGTAACCGGCGTCAGCCAGAATAAATCCTACGATTTATATAACGCTCAAATTGTAATTTTATATATTTTTAGGACTTAGGTAGTACGAAAGCAATCAACGATGCGTTTGTTTGATACATATGAAAGCTCTTGAACAAGCGGTAGTAATAACTTAATAGGAAGTCGGAGAATCGACTGAATATTTCGCATAGTGTTTTGCACCCTGGAATTTGAGCTATCATATGTATTTATTCCAAAAAATCAGAACACCGCACCACCCCCCCCCACAAACACATGTTTTGTCGATTGCAAATCAAACCAACCCTATAAAAAAATTCAAAGCGACATGATATAAAATACACTAGTAAACATTTTACAACAAGCTAACATTTTCTACATCAGTAATGACCCGGTGCTTTATTTTACTGAGCTAGACATCACAGGGCGAACAGGCCAAACGCACAAGTCACCATGCGCAGGGTTGCAAGGACGGCAGCAAAGCACTAGTAAAATATATGAGGATAACCTTACACAAAAATTAAAGCCGTTTACGACTTCCAGTAACGCCGAATCAGAAGGCAGCTCTTGAGGATGAGGAGGAAGGGTACTGAGGGTCGCGTGTTCTTGGAGGGGGGGGGTCACGTGACCCCCTCAAGCTCACGTGCCCCCCCCCCCCGAGGTCACGTGGGAGGTCACGTGACCTCGGGGGAGAGGACGTGGCCTTGGGGGGTCACGTGACCTTGGGGGGTCATGTGACCTTCCAGAAAATTTTTTCCGCTCGACTTAGCGCGGAAATTTTTCCGCTAGATTTATCTTGGAAACTTTTCCGCTAGATTTAGCGAGGAAATTTTTCCGCTAGATTTAGCGGGGAAACTTTTCCGCTTGATTTGGCGGGGAAATTTTTGCTCTAGATTTGGCGGGGAAATTTTTGCTTTAGATTTAGCGGGGAAATTTTTCCGCTAGTATTAGCCGGGAAATTTCTCCGCTAGATTTAGCGGGGAAGTTTTAGAGCGCCGCTCTTAGGCGCCCGTTCCCGGCTTGAGCGGCGACGGCGTCGCCGTCGGCGTCGGCGTAACTGCAACCCTCGTAACCCTCGTGAGGGTTACGAGGGTTAATCTCATGAGGGTTACCCTCACGAGGATCACGAGGGCCACGAGGGTTACTTACCCTCGTAACCCTCACGAGGGTTACGAGGGTTAGTTACTCTCAAAAGGGTTACCTTCACGAGGGTTACCCTCACGAGGGTCACGAGGGTTATGAGAGTTACCCTCACAAGGGTCACGAGAGTTACCCTCACGAGGGTCACGAGAGTTACCCTCACGAGGGTCACGAGAGTTGCCCCCACAAGGGTAACTAGGGTTACCCTCACGAGGGTCACGATGGCTACCCAGGTCACGTGACCCCCCCCCCCGGCGTCACGTGACCTGGGGATACCCCCCGAGGTCACGTGACCCCCGTTTACGTCACCGGCATCCGCATCGTCATCGTCATCATCACTGATGACGTCATCAGTGACGTCACTGATGACGTCACCGGCATCCGCATCGTCATCATCATCATCACTGATGGCGTCATCAGTGACGTCACTGATGACGTCATCGGCATCGTCACGTGGCCCCAGGTCACGTGACCCCCCCCCGACTTCACGTGACTCCCACAAGGTCACGTGACCCCCAAGGTCACGTGACCCCCCCGCCCCCCGAGGTAACTTGACCCACATCCCCAGTACCCTTCCCTCCTCCTCCTCAAGAGCTGCGCTCTAATTCGGCGTTACAGGGAGTTGTAAACGGCTTTCATTTTTTTCCGTTTCCGCTAGATTTAGCTAGGTAATTTTTCCGCTAGATTGAGCGGGACAATTTTTCCGCTAAATTTAGCGGGGAACTTTTTCTGCTAGATTTAGCGGGGAATACTTTTCGCTAGATTTAGCGGGGAGACTTTTTCGCTAGATTCGCTAAATTTAGCGGGGTAATTTAACCATAATGCACCACGCGGTTAAGCCGACGGCGACGGCGACGCCGACGCCGACGCCGCTCAAGCCGGAAACGGGCGCCTAAGAGCTGCGCTCTAAAAAGACTAATATAACATACACACTTAGTCTAGAGAAACGCAGCGGTATAAAGGACGATTTCAAGATACGCCTGCGCACTTCCGGCAACCCGCGCTTTTCCTTTTTGATGAATGGCGTTCGCCAATTTCATCATAACTTTGCTTACAGATCTGTCGCCGGTGCCTCTTATGGTGCTGGGAAAACCTGCAAGCATGACCAGTGCCTCCATCAACGACAGAACACAGTATGTACAATCGGTGATGTACGTAGGCCGCCTAAAACAATCCTTTTAGAGAACAGCTCATTGGCGCCCGTTTCCGGCTTGAGCGGCGTCGCCGTCGTCGTAACCACGCGGTGCATTATGGGAAATGGTTCATAGTGCACCGCGCGGGGAGGAGAAGGGGGAGGAGAACGAGGGGGTGGAGAGGAGGAGAACGATGGGGAGGGGAGGAGGAGGAAGGAGGAGAGGAACAGGGAAGGAGGGATGACGAGGAGGAGAGGAAAGAGGGGGAGGAGAGGAGGGGAGCAGCCTGAGGGTTGAGGGGAAGAGGAAGGGAGGAGAAGGACGAGGAGGAAGAAGAGGATGGAGGAAAGAAGGAGTGTCAGGGAGAATAAGGAGGTTAGGTGGAGAAAGGAGGGGTATGCCCTCCCCTCAGTACCCTTCCCTTCTCCTTATCAGGAGCTGCGCTCTTATCCGGCGTTACAGGGTGTTGTAAACGTCTTCCATATTTTTTTTATATTTTTGTTTCTTTCTGGGTCACCCCCGCAGCACCTTCCGGGCCATTTTGGCCGCCAATTTACGCCCGCCTTCACCTCCTGAATCTGAATAAAAACCGGTACACTCTAAGAAATTAGAAGAGGGTGAAGGAACGCCAACCAAAAATAAAAAGGAGCCCAACGTTTCGAAACCTGCTTGGTTTCTTCTTCAGGAGCGACTGTGTGCGCGAGGAGCAAGTGGTCTTCTTTTACGGCGGTGGATGTGATGTTTTCGCGATCGTAATGTGGCTGAGCCCGCTGACGTAGGCGGAAGGAAAATCGCCAAGATGTTTTGCGGTGTGGTTTGGATATGCCATGATTTGACGAAGAGCCTCCACAGGGAATTGGTCTCAATGTCGAGGATGCGTGTGTTGTCGAAGTCAATGCGGTAAACAGGATAACTGGGCGAGTTGGTATGGATTCATAATGGAACAGCGCGAATTTTTGCAAGGACAGAAGAAGGAACTGGACAGGACGAGCGCTGACTAACAACTGAAAGGTTTATTCTCAGGAAACCACGATGAAAAACACATAACACAACTCTCTAATCACGATGGAAGTGCGCATGCGCCTCACAAAATTGCGTGCTATCAGTTGCACAATGTTACATGCGTCATCCCCGATCTAAAAATTCGACCTCATTGTCCAGCAAAATCAAGGAAGCCTGACTCACGCAGGCTGACCCCTCCTTCTTTATTCTATGAGCTTCAACAATCTCTCGAGCTTTTTGGTCCCGGTGTTTATACAAAACAACGGCTTTTTCCAGTAACGGGGTGCAGGCGCAGTCCCTGCAGTGTAACGCCAAGTGGGAGCTTGCCGTACCTGTTAAAGAACTACGGTGTTCCCGCAGGCGAATGTTGAGGCACCGCCCCGTTTGTCCGATGTATACCTTCCCGCAGGTGAAGGGTATCTTGTATACTACACCCAAGGTGCATGGCACGAACTCAATGCGGTGTTTTATGCCGCACGGGCTCTCCCCCTGTTTCTCTACCTTGTTAACGCGCTTTTCCACTGCAGAGCAAATACTGCTTAGCTTGTTACGTGCCGAGAACACAACATCTACCCCGAACTTCGAGGCTGCTCTCTTCCGGGAAACCGGCGACTAGAAGACGCCGGTTTCCCGGAATCGGTTATCGCCTCGGCGGCGGAAGCAACAGTGAAAAACATTAAGGGTGAGGCGCGGGGAAAAGTAGCAACAAAAGTAAAAAAGCAGGTCACAGTCATCCCGTATGTGCACCACATGTCACACGGCTTTAAGAGAGCAGCCTCGAAGTTCGGGGTAGATGTTGTGTTCTCGGCACGTAACAAGCTAAGCAGTATTTGCTCTGCAGTGGAAAAGCGCGTTAACAAGGTAGAGAAACAGGGGGAGAGCCCGTGCGGCATAAAACACCGCATTGAGTTCGTGCCATGCACCTTGGGTGTAGTATACAAGATACCCTTCACCTGCGGGAAGGTATACATCGGACAAACGGGGCGGTGCCTCAACATTCGCCTGCGGGAACACCGTAGTTCTTTAACAGGTACGGCAAGCTCCCACTTGGCGTTACACTGCAGGGACTGCGCCTGCACCCCGTTACTGGAAAAAGCCGTTGTTTTGTATAAACACCGGGACCAAAAAGCTCGAGAGTTTGTTGAAGCTCATAGAATAAAGAAGGAGGGGTCAGCCTGCGTGAGTCAGGCTTCCTTGATTTTGCTGGACAATGAGGTCGAATTTTTAGATCGGGGATGACGCATGTAACATTGTGCAACTGATAGCACGCAATTTTGTGAGGCGCATGCGCACTTCCATCGTGATTAGAGAGTTGTGTTATGTGTTTTTCTTCGTGGTTTCCTGAGAATAAACCTTTCAGTTGTTAGTCAGCGCTCGTCCTGTCCAGTTCCTTCTTCTGTCCTTGCAAAAATTCGCGCTGTTCCATTATCAATGCGGTGGTCATTCGAGTCACTGTATTCCGCAACCGCGCTGTGCTCATGATCGAACTTTCGCACGTCGTGTTTGTGCTGGTGAATTCTTTCTTTAAAGTTTTTGGTTTCGCCGATATATGTGGCAGGGCAATCCGCACAAGGAATCTGGTAACTAACGCCTCGCGCTCTTTTCTTGGAGGACGATCTTTTGGCCGGGGCATCAGATGTCCAAGCGTTGACACTGGTTTGTGGGCCATCTGAATGCAATTCTTTTGCCAGCACACGCGCGAGCGCTACGCTGGTTTCCTTTATGTAAGGGACGCAGACGCGCGTGGTTGAGCGGGGTTGTGCGATTTCTTGTGGTCTTAGGCGTCGATCAGACTTACGTTGACGACGAGCGATTCGCTGAATAAAACTGCGGGTGTAGCTGTTATTTAGTAGGTCGATGATGGTTTCTTCTTCCTTTTTTTTTTGTAGTCCTTCGACGAGCAAATAGTCTTCGCTCGGGACAGGAGTGCCTGGACGACATACGCCTTGTGGCTCGCAGGGTGGTTTGAGTCAAATCGGAGGTAGCGCCCAGTGTGTGTCGGTTTTCTGTATGCTGTGAATTCCAATTGATCTTTTTTGTCTTTTGACCAGCACGTCAAGAAACGGCAGGGCGTCGTTCTTTTCAGATTCAACGGTGAACTGGATGGCCGGCTCGATGGAGTTGAGGTGTGCCAAAATGTTGTTAACTTCTGACTTCTTCATAATGCAGAACCAAACGTGGACATACCGTAAAAACACTTCAGGGCGTGCGGTGAAAGACTGCAGCGCGCGTTGTTCAATGGCTTTCATTGTCAGGTTGGCCGTGGTGACGGAGATGGATGCGCCCATTGCGATTCCACTGGTCTGCTTGAAGAATTCTCCTTTAAAGCTCAAGTAAGTGATCCCCAGGCAGAACTCGAGCAGGCGGCACAGTTCGTCCGCCGTAAGGCTGGTCCGTTCGCTCAGCTTCTTGTCTCCCTCGAGGGCAGCTCTGGTTGTGGCGACTGCCAGGGGAACCGGCACGCTGGTGAAGAGTGAGACGACGTCGAACGATACCAGGCTGTCGTCATCGTTTACCTTTAGTTGCGCAACCTGTTCCACAAAGTGCCCGGTGTTCCGCACATAGGTCGCTGTGTTTCCAACGAGAGGAGAGAGAGTGCTGTGGAGGTAGTTCGACAATTTCCGAAGTGGTGAGGTTGTGAAATCCACGATCGGCCGGAGAGGGACTCGAACGAGCACCACATTGACTTCGACAACACACGCATCCTCGACATTGAGACCAATTCCCGGCAGAGGCTCTTCGTCGAGTCATGGCACATCCAAACCACACCGCAAAACATCAATCGGTTGCTTGGCGCTTTACCATCCGCCTACGTCAGCTGGCTCAGCCACATTGCGATCGCGAAAACATCACATCCACCTCCGTAAAAGAAGACCACTTGCCCCTCGCGCACACAGTCGCCCCTGAAGAAGAAACCAGGTTTCAAAACGTTGGGCTCCTTTTTATTTTTGGTTGGCGTTCCTTCCCCGTCTTCAAATTGTTCTTACCCAACCAGGCAGATTTCTGCCAAATGTTTACTTTCAAAACTCTAAGAAATGCCTGCGCGTCTGCTTATCCGCAAAACGCTCAATGAGCCATTCTCTGCGATCTACGAAAACAGCTGAATGTATGACGAGGCGGAACATCCGTTTAGACTTAAGAGCGACATCTGCGCTGTGGTATTACGAAATGCGAAGCGTACGTCATGCGTGCATTGCGTAATGCCACAGCGCAAACTTTGTTTTTACGTCCAAACGGATGTTTGGCCTCATCATTCCCTGAGCTCATTTTGTAGATTTCAGAGATTGTTTCTTCAAGTGTTTTGCGGGTAAGTAGACGTGCCGGCCTTTTTTTAGAGTGTATGTATAGAAATATAGTAGCCGACGGTGCTATTTTATGTTTCGAACTATGGCTAGCGCGGTCGGTCACGACGCAAGTGAACTATATAGAAAACTCTAAGACGTTGCCTCTGTATAGATACAAAGACCTAAAACATGAATTTTTTTAATGGAGTCCGACGAGATTTTGAACCGGCAGTGTATCATGTGAAACCAAGTTACATGTAAGAAGATTGGTAATGGACAATAAAGAATGCTATAATAATATAACTAGTCTTCATTTAAACTGACCCAAAACAACCACAATGGCCTTGAGATTGGTGCACTTCCAGAAAAAAAATACAACTAATAATAGAATATATGTATATATATATATGATCACACTCAAGACACCGCTAATGCAGAACAGTAGTATCAAACAAAACAAAAATAAAAATTAGTTTGTAGAGCGAATTACTCAAAAGACGGCGAAACTCAGAACCGACGAATAGACACCGTACGTTTGCATACGAGCTCACACGCCTGCAAGTATTGTATTTTCTTCTTTTGTTTTGTTATTTTCCAATGGACTGCGCGCACTTCAAAAACCAGTGGCATGTAAGATAGACTTACCGAGGCTCTGGTGAGGAAAGTTTATAACGTAATCTGAGGCTGCACCAAGAAAGCCATGTTGAAAGAGTACGGGCGTTTTACTGGACGAAAGTTCGTTACCATCTTGGACCCTGCCACGTGGGATACGTTGAATGGCCAGTACGTAACCGTCTTCAGTGATAACGTTGTGTTCCTCAACTGGGTAGCCCTTGCTGGAGATTAACTCCGACTGAAATCCAATTTCCAAGGAATTTATACCGCATGTTGATGAATGTAAATATAAGGATAAAGAAACATATAACAACAAACTAGAGGCGCACTTCTCGTTCACAGCAATCTTTGTTTATGTTCAAAGCATGAAGCCCCTTAGTCCCCGACACTTGTTCTTCCGTCCGGCCGTCCGTTTTTTCAGTCCATCCGTTCGTTCTAGTCTAAACGTCTACAATAAAATTAGCGGAAAAATAAAATTAATATGTACTTAAAGACAAAGTCTGGTGGCGTACCACGTCATTGATAACGTGCGAGGCGTTTAACCGATAAATGTAGGAAAACGTTCACGTGGCGTGAAGTCACACCCCGTGAGCACGTCGCGTAACATCAGGTAACATGTCGTGAATCCATAAATAAGTAATGTTATACGCTGCCCCCGAAACGACTGTTGCAGCACAGAATACAGTGAAATAAAATTTGGATTGACAACTTGTCTCTCATTTATAAAATCACTAAATAGGTATTCTAGCGTGACAAACTCTAGCATGTCATATAGCACTAACATATTGGAACCCGACAACTTCTGCCGCCAACCTCATTGCTTGCATCACATAAAAAAAAAAATATGGTAAAAATATTGTAATTTATCTTTTTTTTTCGCGCGTATGTTGTAATGGAAACACCAAAGAAAAGCGGATCGTAGGAGCCAATCAGGATAAAGGCGTGTAGTTTTAAAATTTTACTAGAAAACATGTGGGTATAATTAACACAATACCAATGGCAAGTGTCCTTCACGGGGATTCGGAGACTAATGACCGAGTTCTGGCATTTATTATATTGCTATCATTATTTTCTAGCTGCAAATTGAAATATGCTATCTAAACCGGCTTATGTTAATAAATAATTTCGACATACATATATCTGCTAAAAACCTAAATTTTTTTTTCAAAAAGAGTCAGCATAATGGTGAAAGCTGCGGTGCACCACCTTTTTTTAGATATTTTCATCTTAGATATATGCTATACTTGTACCAAATATCTGACAACGAGTGTTTTTATATGCACTTTATTATTATCATAAGATCGAATGGTGTTGTAATCTAAGAGGCATTCGATAATTTAGTCAATGCGATATGGACCTACAGAAGAAATGGAAATACAATGCTCGACGAGACCTTAAAAAAACACAATGTGGTTTTTGAGTAGCGTTGATTCTAACCAACATTATGTTACTCCTTAGCTTTATCATAGGCTTCTAGTTGTTAGACTCAAATTTTGAAGATTTCTTTCGCTGAGTCTGTTTTCATAATTGCCTCGTGTGATATAACGTTTTATGATATAACATTGTTTGATCCAGGTCCGCAATTAAATTATACGTAGCTCGTTAGAATTGCGTTCGTTGACGGCATTGCCGTATGTAATATTCCTGAACGTATGCATAAGATATCTAGGGCACTGTTGAGAGGACGATAAGTCTTGGTCATGCAGATGCGCCCCTTGTTTTTATTAGTCCGATTTGCAGTTGGCGATCTGCATAAACAGAGCTCTGATTAGGTTATAAGTTCGTAAATAATCGAGAAAAAGAGTGACAAGGCAACTATCATATTTAATACATAGTTGGATTAAATTGTATACAGTCTTACTAGTTCCCCTGAACCGCTTTCCCTGTAACATTCGAACACTATTTATTTTTCCATTATGAGCGACGGGGGACACAGAGAAAAAAAAACTGGTTTTTATGCAGCTTGACAAGACCTCGGCATCCCTATAAACCAAGCATCTATACCGAGGTTAACAAAATTAGAAACTGTACATAACAGTGCGAACCTTTATATCATGTTAAGAATGCCATCCGTGATGAGTGAAATGGCATCCCTTCAATAGATGCGGTATTAATCAGAAATTCAGGAAGCGTATGGTACATTTTCTGACGTTCAAAGTTAGTGTGTGATCGAATGGAACAGGATATCACTCACCACATTCCTCAACGAATCCGGATCTACTAAACGAAGTTGGGACAAAGTGATTTCGGTCAAAAAAATAATGATTTTTGAACATATCAGAATTCCATGAGGTTGCATGATAACTTCCTGAGGAGGTTTAAGAGACAGTAGCACGGCAGGTAATGCTCCTCTTCAAAGTCGTACGATCCGACTGATATATACCACTAAGCGAGTGCACGTGTTTCTGCGTACATCTTCCGCCTACCAGCTGTGTGGGTCTCGTAACCCGCAGAACTAACCGCGTTCAAAGTCATTTAGGTCAACCTTCAGTCAAACTGAAACATCTATCTTGTGTATCCGCTATTATTTGGCATTGAATAAAATACTGGTAAGATATAGCACGAGGTCAAGAGGGTTCGTTGTGGGCTGAAGTATAATATTATATTGAAATATAAATTGTTTGAATGTCCTTGGGTATTGATATAGTGAAAGAAAAATATTTAGGAAATTACGTTCTCAGTATCTTTGAAAATATTAGATAAAATACAAATTATTTATTTTCGTTTGAGAAGCATTTTAGCGCTATAAAACCTAGCAATATAATAAAATCTTAATTGCATATTTAGAACTTTTTTATACCTGATTGTTGTGCGATCATGCCTTATACTAGATTAGTTCTCGGACTTAAAGATATGAGTGATTACACAAACACGGTATCAAAGGTTAGTCTTGACTATATATGTATATATATATATTCAGATTTCATTAGGATACAGGCAACAAGGTGCAGTCGTATTTTTTATTTTGATTCATATTTTTATATTTTGTGGTGCATGTTCCAAGGAGAAAAATACTTTTTATTTTAATGTCCTGCTATGTTTAGTTTCTGAGAAATAAAATCTAAAAGAAGGGGTAAAGGACGACGAGGTTTTGATGATTGTCACGTGTGGCACTTATGAATCACTCTCGATCTCAAATATTTAAAAGAGAGCGTCCACATTTTTTTTAGTGTGATACATATCCAAGTAGGTAAAACGACATTATAACTACTATTTATTATTCGTCACTCCAATCTTTGTAAAAATCTTAAACATGCCTCCACCAACTGTGACCTAAATTGCGGATTTTTTTTTAGTCGACTACGTTTAGTATCGTTTTTTTAAATAATACCACGTGTAGAACCTTTCATTGCCTTCCAAATTAAGCAAAGTTTATGTTTTTGTCATGTGCGAGTTTTGAGAAATAAATTATAAAACAGAGATTTTCACTTTTTGTTCAATTTCAGCACTCTGTATAAAAAAAAACTAAGAATAAAACATTTTAATTTTTTTTTTCTTTTTCTCTCCTCGCGTTTTTTTACACCCTTTTTTTTACCCGAATACATTTCGTTAGAGCTTTTCTGAATACATTCCGGTTTGCCTCGAATGCTTTCCGTTAGAGCTTTTCCGCTTACTCTCGCCCCCCGCTAAGCAGGCATATTCGGTACGGGCGACGAAAAAATTTAAAATGTTTCAACCTGCAAATAGTCAAAAAATAGGCGACAAACAAAACGAGAATGGGTGACGGTTACGTTTATGTCCTAAATGCATTCTATTGGCGTGGCGACGGCATAACAATGTTTTCGCCCATACTGGAAGTGACGATATTTCAAGATGGTGGCGCCCTTGCGGAAAAGGTCGATATGCACTGGTTTTGAGTTTTAAGCCCCTAAATATGCTAAAAAACAGCGAATACCGATAGTGGGTTTTGACGGTTGTCGTGTGTGGCGTTTTCGAACCGCTGGAATTCCGTGGTGGCAGGGTTTTCCTGCTCTAACTGTTTACAAACATCGTGCGTGGTTGTACTCTGCATGCTTCTAGCTGAAACAAGGATAAGGCAAATCAAGTGGTTTCTACTTACCGTTGAAATGGCAGCTATACGGTGATGCTTTAAGCCACTGGCCAGTTTGATATATTTCTGGGTGAGCACATCAAGCGCCATGTAAACAAGGACTAAGATTCCTCATTATACCAGTCAAGAGCCATTTTTGATGAATTTATTCAGTATATGGCAGAAGGTGTGAAGGACTGTCTTGTTGACCATGTGAAGTGTGAAAAGCAGTATTCTTGATGGTTAAACGGTTCCATAGCTTAATCAGGCTTATCAGTTGTCACTCATTAGCGATACATTTTAAATTTAAAAAAAAAATATTATGTAATCTTCTGCAGTCTTGTATGTTTCAGATACGGCGATGTCTCTTTAGACGATTGATAAAGTCTCGAGTGGCAACTGCAAGGGCAGGTCTTACAACAATGTGAGCTTTCTATTTATTAAAATGAAATGTTAAATGAATCGCCGCAGGCATTTTTTAAGTCAAAAAGTGTTGAAACTAACTAAGCAGATTATTTGGTTCACGTTGGCCCCAACGTTATGAACCATGGGCAGGTCGCCGCCATTTATTTTAAATTTAACGAAGCCTTTTACTTGCGCATCATGACCTATTAATGCCTAAGCTATCACAATACGGGTTATGTTCGCTGCCTATATAACCAGATTTCGGAAAATAAAAATTTCAGCTGTGTTAGAGACTTTTTAGTGTTGTGTCGTTTACCCACAGTCTCGGGTTTTTTTCAACCATGTGCAACCATATGTTCGCAGCTCTGTTTGTGGGTTCAGATATATCTTTGCGGGCACTTCATGAACGTTTGCGTTAAAGGTATGTTGTCGAGATCATACATATTATTATCCGCCATTCCACAAGGCTTCATTTTAGTAGCTTTCCTGTTTAAAAGGTTTGTTAATACTGTCTCTTTTTGAGTTAAACGCTCAAATTTTCTTCTGTTCCCTGATGATATTTAGATCTTCAAATATATCAAATGGCATGCTGAGTGCGAGCTGCTGCACGAGGACATAGCTGGTATTTCGTTATGGCGTCGTCAAAAGAAAAAAACAACAACAAAGACATATATCTGAAAAGTAGAAAAAAAAACAAAAAAAAACTTCCTATCGTTTCATCACACACAAAAAAAAATCGTTCAGCAGTTCCACTTTCGTGAAGAAGGAAGACCAGCGGAGCTCTACTCGATACACTGTGAGCTTCTTCGTCGTCGTCTGCTTTTCGCGCTGTTTCTTATAGTCGGTTACAAGTTAAGAAGGTAGTAGAAGCCCCTCCCCGTAGGCGTGATGCGCCCGCTTCAGACGCCTCCGCAGTCGAGAAGATAGTTCGCTGAAAACGCCCCTTCTACTTCAATGGATGGATATTGACTACAGACAGACCTTGTAGCGGGCGGCAGCTTGCGCCACCTAGCCGAGGCAAATTACTCGCTCCGGAAGGTTGACGTAAAAAGAAGGCTTCAGTGCAACGAAAATTGTAACTTTTATAAGTAATACATATATGGTTGTTGGTTTTAGCTTGATAACCTTCCTACTCGAATTAGGTACATTCCGTGTAATTTCTGCGTTTGTTAAAAAAAACCTGCGTTTCGGGTTTTGAAAGTTTCTGCGATTCGCGTTTTAACAATGCCGAAGTCGCCGTTTTCCGTTATGAATCCCAACGTGGAGACAGCGGAATGCGATTCCTCCGACTCTTCTTCGTCAAGAGAGTCTGGTGCAGCCTCGCCGCCTACGCCAAGGCGCCTCTACAAGAAGCATAAGAGCGGCGATGTCCTCAACCGAGCTGCACGGCAGCTGATAATGAACGCGTACGTTCAGGTGCGACACGAACCGCCCGCCAAGCCCGGCCAGCCCGGCCTCACTGTGGAGGAGTCCTGCATCAAAGTCAGCAAGCTGCTTGGCGTTGGTGTACGCACCGTCCTCGAGATTAGGAAGCAGGCGAAAGAAACCGAGGGACAAGTTGTGACACCTTCTCGGAAGCGCCCAGCAAGTGAAGGCAAGAGGCGGCGCAAAGTCTGGTACGGCGAGTTCACGTTGTGCTCGCTAAGATCGTGCGTCCACCGTTTCTTTCGACGGAACGAGGTCCCCACGGTCAAGAAGATAACGGCCGAATTCTGCGCGAGCACTGAACTTCCCTCGTTGAAGGCTTGGACTGTGCGTCGCCTTCTCCACGACATCGGATTCGAGCATGACAAGAGGGAACGAAACTCCCGGTTGATTGAACGAGAGGACATAGTCGCCTGGCAGCAGAAGTACCTGCATGAGATCGCACGTCACCGACAAGATGGTCGGAAGATCTTCTACTTGGACGAGACGTGAGTGACGGCAGGGACACTGTCTCAAAGGTGTGGGTAGACACGACAGTGGCCTCGTCTCACGACGCCTTCATGCGTGGTCTCTCGACTGGCCTCAAGCAGCCATCGGGGAAGGGCCAGCGTCTTATTGTCATCCACATCGGCAGCGATGAAGGCTTCGTCGACGGCTGCCTGGACGTGTTCCGTGGACAAAAAACCGGTGATTACCACGAGGAGATGGATGGCGCCCGCTTCGAGAAGTGGTTCGACGGTGTCCTCGACAAACTGCCGACAGGAAGCGTTATCGTCATGGACAACGCTTCTTACCATTCACGGCGGTTGGAAGCAGTGCCGACGACGAGTTCCCGGAAGGACGACATCCGACAGTGGCTGACGTCTAAGAAAATTTCATGGGACCCCAAGATGGTGAAGAAGCAGCTGCTCGACATTGTGGCCTTGGCCACAATGTCGAGCAGCTGCTTCTTCACCACCTTGGGGTCCCATGAAATTTTGAGCCACAGCACCTAAAGTATCGTGTGGACACTGCTGCCGAGACAGCTGGCTGCACTGTGGTCAGGCTCCCACCGTATCACTGCGAGTTCAACCCCATTGAACTGATATGGGCGCAGATCAAGAACGGCGTTGCTGCCCGAAACACGACGTTCAAGATTGTCGACGTGGGGAGAGTCCTCAACGAAGAAGTTGACAAGGTCACCACTGACAACTGGATTAATGCTGTCATTCACGTTATTGACATTGAAGCAACGTTCCGACGAGGCGGTGCCACAAGTGCCCACATCCAGCCCATCGTCATCCAGCTGGATGGAGAGGACACCCCATCCGAGAGTGACCTGTCTGGTGTCGAGCCCCTTGACGAAGCTTAAGGCCACCATTATGGAGAAAGCGTGGAACATCTCGGAACACAAAACGGTCCTTTTAAGGACCACTTATTTGCTTTAAGATCGGATTGTTGTTCTTGACCACCACTAACCTCCCGTGTCTAATGTTGTCATGCTTCTCTGCTCGTTGCCGAATAGCATTTCGATATGCAGCCACCAGACAAACTTTTTATTTTTGTTGTGATAATGTCTAAGCTGGTCTATACATTGCACTGTGCCATAAATCACCAGTATAGATTTCAACTTCAA